GCCATAGAACTCATAGGGCTATTATTTCTGATTGTTTCCCAATACTCATTTATTCATTTGTTCAACAGCATTCACTGGGCACCTCCTGGAGGCCAGGCACTGTGCTTGCCACGGGGGTTACCTAAAAACGTCAGCACACAGCCCTAAAATGATGTGTGGAATGATATCAACAGGAACACATAGATGAAACTGATGCTCTCCTGCCCTCAGAGCCAGAAGGACTCTCTAGTTGCAAACACCCTTCTGAGGAAGGATTTAAATGCAGTGCTCACATAACACAAGTCTTCCGGCTTGGAAAGTTGAAACCTTCTGACTCCATATTAAACATTTCCCCTCTCTCACACTTTGTATTTTCCCTCATGTTTCCCTGACTACCTTATAAACTCCATTTGTCTTTGTAGTTCCCATTTCCTTTGCTGACACAGTATTAAACACCATGCTTTCATATAAATATATATACATATATAGGTATGTATGCGTGTGTGTATATATATATATATATATAACTATATATATGTAACTATATATATAACTATATACATATAACTATATATATATGTATAGTTATTTATTTCCTACAATAATATAGGTACCACATTATTCCTATTTGAAGATGAGATAAACTGAGGCACAGGGAAGTTAAGTAACTCCCCTGTAGCTGCTGTAACACGGATGATAAAGAAGCAGAATTTGAACCCAGGCAGCCTAACTCTAGAGCCAGGGTTCTTAAATACTAGGTAATCCTGTCTCAGAGAGAATACAAACAAACACCAAGGACCATGTAAGCTTGAAGCTGCTAAGGCCACCTGCTGCCAAGTGAGAGAAGCCATGCCAAAAATGAAGCCCACGTAGGGAAAGGAAAGCTGAAGGGAAAGGGGGAGAGACAGAGAGACAGGGAAAGAGACAGAGACAATATGAGAGATGTATGAGATATTACTGATTATTTAATATGAATCTCTGGAGGATATAAAGTGAGAAACTAAACTACCTTTGGTCTTCGTAGTTATACAGGTGAATAGTCTTGTCATTTGTAGGTGTGGGTTCTTAACTGGGGGTCCAACCGTAACTGTACACAAAGTTCTTGGTGTATAAACAGAACTATAAAACAGTGTATATGCATGTCTCTGGGGAGAATCTCAAAGGAGACCTTGATTCTACCTAACTACCATGTTTACGGCATCTTAGCCAAATCTCCTCTGCAAAATCAGGTGGGGACATTTAGAACAAGGCTGTTGTCATGTGATTAGCCTATGCTCACATCAGGTCTATCCCTAGAGCCACACTTACATGGAGGAGAATAAGCTACTTCTTATCAGTTACAACTTCTAATCATCTTTTAAAATGCAAAGTGAGTTCCTGTTAAACATGCTGAATTGAAAATGCATGCTTGTAACCTAAGTGTCCATCAATGGATGATGAATAAATAGAGAAAATGTGATATATCATATATATACAGCAGAATGCTATTCAGACATAAAAAGAAGGAAATTTGCAACAACATGGATGGAATTTGAGGGCATTAGGCTAAGTGAAATAAATCAGGCAGAGATAGACAAATACCCGTATGATCTCACTTATATGTGGAATCTAAAAAAAAAATCAAACTCATAGATGCTGAGTACAAATTGGTAGTTGCCAGGGGATGGGGATGGGGAAAATGGATGAAGACGGTCAAAAGGTACAAACTTCCAGTTATAAAATAAGTAAGTCCTGGGGATGTAATCTATGGTTAATAATACTATATTGTATATTTGAAAGATGCTGAGAGAGTAGATCTTAAAAGTTTTCATCACAAGAAAAAGAAAATTGTGGCTATGCGCTGTGATGGATGTTAACTAGACTTATTGTGGTGGTCATTTTGCAATATATACAAACATTGCATCATTATGTTGTATACCTGAAACTAATATAATGTTATATGTCAATTATGTCTCAATTTAAAAAAAGAAAATGCATGTTTATGTCAGCTCTTTCTCCAAATCCCACTAAAATAACAGTGTGTCAGTTCTGTTTGTTTGTCTTCAGACCATTTCTCACTCTTCCCTTGTCCTGCTCTGTTCTGTTATGCAGAGGGACAGCCCTCTGCCAGGCTGGGCCTCCCAGTCTTCCTTGGGTTCAGCATATAGGAGCACTGATCGGAGACTAAAGGGTAGAGAGAAGAGAGAAACCAGAGGATTTCCCCTCTCCCTGCCTGCCTCAGGCAGGAAATCTGGCAGTGGCTGGGGTTCCTCTGAGACCAGCTACCACTCGACAGATCTACTGCGGTTCTGGCTTTCACCGGGTAGTCCTGGTGCCTGGGCTTAGGTAACACCACCACCTCCCCTCTCCCTCGAGCCTGGTGTAACAGAATCGGTAATTTAAAGAGTGCAAAAAAAATGATGAAAGAAAAATTCCTGTGAAGAAAGAATCTGGAAGTACACTTTTAGAATCTATTTTCTTTCCTTCCGCAGAGAAAAGGATTAGGTACAAATAGAACCCCAAAAGACTAGACTTATTGATTTTGCCATACTCCAGCACATGAGATGTTGTGGGAAATAAGCCATTTCCATGCTCAGATTAATTCATTGTCCCATTCTTCAAGGAAAATATCCGAGAAGAGGCTAAAACAGCCCACAGAAAACTGAAGCAAGTGAGGTTTGGCTTGGTGTATCCCATGCCCCACTTTGACAATGCCTGCTACAATTTAGAATCCAAGGCCCTTGGATGTCATTAGGGAAAGTAACCTGCTAAAATCACTAATGCTACATGGTTTCATGAATTATCCTTTATGGTTTACAGTTTTTCTTATTTAGAAACGTGGTCATCTCCAGTACTATAATAGTGAAGATTTCGGCAATAATTTAGTCTGTCCTGTCCTCTCGCTACCACCTGTGTGTTAGTGCCCAGTGATAAATGCTACCAATCTTGCATATTCTACTTCTGATTCAGCCAACTGCAAAAGTTTGGGGCTTTCAGTTTATTCTATGATTGTGAGTCTTTATTCAATACAGTTTTTATTGTTATGCAGGTCAAATACCATCCACCATCCAGTTCCCTTCTCCTTCAGGGTCCCTGGAAGGATTGTACTTTTCCCTCTCCCTTGAAGTTAGGTAAGGGTGTGTGACTAATTCTAATCAACGAATGACCTTTTCATAAAAATATCTATATAACAAAGAAGACATAAAGCCCCAGTAACCTGGCACATCCATTTCAAGAAATATCCGATTCATATCCAGTACCATGAAATGATATCGTTTTTGAAATTCATTGTGATGAGATTCGTATTAACTCATCAGATCGTGAGCTCTCTGAGGGCAGAGATAACCTAGAACCCACAAGCACTAGGTGCTCAATACATGTTGCTAAATGAATGAATGAAGGATTGAGGGAATGAATGAGTAACCGTAATGTCAATATGGTCTTGTTTAAATCATTCTTATTTCTCCTTGCTCATTTGAACACTGCACTAATTTAGGAAATTACCGTTAAATGAAAAAGACAATTTATTCCTCAGAGAGATTAACAATAATCTGGCTTTTCAAAGAAGGTTAATACGGAAACTAAGAAGGAAAGGCCAGTGAGTTTTGCTTTCTGTTTCTGAACTCTCTATAAAAGATGCTCCAGGAAGTACACTCACCTTACATTTGAATATAATTTTGGATTTCCTTCTTTCTCTGTTCGGGTTTGGCGACTTGAGGTTGCTATGGACTGAATGTTTGCGGCCCCCCAAATTCATATATTGAAGCCCTAACCCCCAATATGATGACCTTTGGTGGCGGTGGGGTGATTAGGTTTAGATGAGGTCATGAGGGTAGAGCCCCATGACGGGATTAGTGTTCTTTATAAGAAGAAAGAGAGACATCAGAGCTTCCTCTCTCCAACACCACATGAGGATACAGCAAGAAAGTGACTGTCTACAAGTCAGGAAGAGGGCTCTCAACAAGAACCAAATTGACTGGCACCTTGATCTTGGACTTCCCAGCCTCCAGAACTGTAATAAATGTCTGTTGCTTAAGCCACCCAGTCTATGAAATTTTGTTATAGCTTCCCAAGCCAAGAAAGAAGCCAAATTCTCATCTTCTCTATCTCTATCAGAAATGTAATATTATTTGCGTGTCACAGACACCTTCCCTTGCTTTCAGCAACCAGCCTAACTAAGATTCTGTTGCCTCTGTAGGTAAATTAAGCAACATGTCCCTTCAATGACCAGCCTGACTCATCAAGTATTTCCTAATTGTGGCAGTAAGGGTTTGTTTTGACCATCACTGTTGCATGGCACTTTTTGCTGTTAAGCTCCAGCCTAGGTATGGTGTTGGGTTTTACACAATGCAAATAAATGGAAACTTTCACTATACTTTCAGACCTTTTAATATGAAAAAATAGAGTTCAGTAATTTAGCCATGGATTTAACTTTTAAAAAACTGCTCTAGATCATATTAAAACCCACAAGATTTTTTTTTCTCTTGGTAAACAGATTTAATACATTGCCCTGATTTTAAGGCATTTAAGAGCAAAGGCATTTTCCAGGAAATATGGCACTTTGTATTGGCAAACAGTTGTAGGAATAAATTCTTTAAGCACCATTTAAGAAGTTTACTTGAAATTTTGGAGTTTCACATCAAAATGCTCAGTATTAAATAGCAATCTGTTACATGCTATATAACATATATGTTACATGCAATGCCAAATGAAAGTCGGCTGTCATAATTCACTAGATAGAGTTTAGTTTTTACATCATTTTGATAAATTTCCTTCGTTTACCAGTTTAGTCACAAATTATACCTTATGGATGTCATGTGAAGGCAGTAAAATATTATATACTTTCAGATGACCCCTATCCAGAAATGCTTTTCACTGCTTACATTTTATCTGTCAAATAGTATTTTCTTTAAGAAGTAAATATAAATGCCATTTTTGGGAGAAGCTACCGGCCTAGGACAAGTTCTAGCATTTAGTGTTCTGACAGATCTTAATCTGGATATCAGCCAAAGTCAATAAAACTTGTTCAAGCAGAACCTTACCTGGTTTTCACCACATCGAGAGGGTGCATCAGGCAAATTTCTACAAGACCTGAAAGATGATAAAGAAAAGTCCAATAAACACTTATGTAAACACTGGTTCTTATTTCCTTGACCCTATTGGTTTCTCAAGTATGAATCTTCAAATTAAAAACTCGGGACCTTGGACATGACAGGTAATAGAGGCTAGGAGCAAAAGACTAATGAATAACATGATTTTATTTCTATGGGAGCAAGATACATGAGTGATTACTTCTTTATAAGTGCTCTGGCACAAACGGAGATTTTAAACAGAGGAATGATATTCACTTCTATTAATATGTTCTCCCAACAATCTAATCACCTGCCCATTAACCCTCCCACTGCTCCCAGTCATATTTATTAACATGCAAACACATAAGCAGTGATGCTCCAACCCTCTCCCCTTTGGTAGATTCACCATCTCTCTCATCACAGCATGGATGTACCGGTGTCACAAGCACCTCTAAGTCTGAAAGAGTCAATGCCCAACTAGAAGAAGAGCACAAATACTATCATCCAAGGAGAACAGTTTCTTTTCAGTGTTCAATTCCCTGAGCTTTTCCTTCTCTTTGGAATGTTGTCCTCCTGGGAGGATACACACACATACACTTCTTCTGAGAATCCTACTTACCTTCAGATCTCAATTTGGGCAACTATTTTCCCAGAAATCCTGGGGCAGAGACTGTTAGTTGTCCCCTAGTATTCATCCCCTTTTCTTCCTGGTTGCTCAGAATAAATACTATATTTCCCAGCCTTCCTTGCTGCTAGGTCACATGTGACCAAGTTCTGGCCAGTGGGAGGTAAGTGCAAGTGGTTTGAGCAATTTCTAGGAAGTCTTTTAAAGTTAAGGAGGCTGCTCCTCTCTTTCCTTTTCCTACTTCCTTCTGGTGGAATGCTGACCTAGGGCAGGAGAAGCCATTTTGCACAATGAAGTGATTTTGGGCATGGAGGTCACACGTAGCACAGCAACAAGACAGAAGTAGTCCGTGACATCATGGAGTTCTGGTCTACCTCCAGACATGCACGTTGAAGAAAATTTTCATTTCCTTTAAACTACTGCTATTTGGGTTCTCTGCTACTCGTACCTGAACCTAATTCTGATACAGGTACCCTGTGATGTGCTCCCACAGTACCCTGGACTTGTGTTATTACATGGCACTGTAGCTGTTTTCTTGTCTAAAAGCTCCACAAGGACAGAGATTCCACCTGCCTTATTCACCTTTATATCCCCATCACTTTGCACAGTAGGTGGCAGCCAGCTCAATAAAAATTTGTTGAATAAGTAAATTAATGCTGCTTAGGGTTACTGCACATGCCACTATGTCAGCTAATTCTCTAGATGAACTGAACTGGCAGCAATTTATTCTACATTTATTCATTAGTTTGAACATAACCCAAATAAGCAAGCAAGGATGGAGAAATACTGGCAAATATGATATGAAATAAAGCACAGGAAGTACTTGAATGCAGAATTGCAATATTGTTGATCACATATCCAGATGTTCAGCAGCTATGTAAATGTGAGAAGGTGACCAATGATGCAACACCTAATAGACTGACAAATGATTCTTGAGAGGGGTGTGCATGCAGGGTATTGCTCAGTGCTGGGACATAGCCTGATGCAGCATCAAGGGTGCCTGAAAGAATGAAGAATTTCAAAAGTGGGCACAGAAGTGACACACTGAGAACAAACTTACATGTAAAGGGAAAACAATGAACAGAGAACAGCAATATGCATAAAACTAAGTGTTGCTATTTACAGTGTGAAATGTTGCTATTTATGTTCTGTTCCAATTCTAGTCTTGCATAACAGTTTACTTTTATTGTCAAATTGTCAACTGTCTTCAAGGAACTATGCCATGGTTCTCATAAAATGAATGACAGAAAATACAAATATTTACAATTTTTAAGTAAAATTTTAATTCAGCTGTGGCCTGGGTGTGCTTTATATTTGAGATTATTCATCCTAGGACACAAGGCTGATTTCTGTAAGGTAAATACCTTGCAAAAAATTTTTAGAGAGAGAGAAAGAGAGAGAGAGAGAGAGAGAGAGAGAGATAATATATATATTTCACCAGGAAGCATTTTCTACAATTTTTACCTACTTTGCCTATAACCACTGGTGGAGGACTCAAGGGTATCCTTAAAGCTGGGAATAGAAAGTCACAATAAAGGCATCACACTTCACAGAATGGATGGTGGATGGGATGGTTGTTTTGTTACTTTGGAGATTTAGAATGCTTACAACGTAAAGCAGAAGACCCTTTTTTTCCAAACTATCCCTTTACAACCTAAGCCACAGAAAAGAGACAATGGAAGGTACAGGACCACATTGATGGACTGACCAAGGGACACACCACCCCTGCTAACTCCTAACAGAATCCTCAAGTATAGAAACCTAGAATGCTGTTGTCATTCCTGTGCCTTCCTTCCTGGTCCACCTCTGCCTTCACCTATGAACAGTGCTGCAATGGCTTCAGTAACCTTTTTAGCAATAAAATGGGGGAATGCAGAAGACAAACTAGGTGCCCAAAGGTAGACTTGAATATAGATTATTAAAGGACAATGTCAAGTGATCCTTCAGTTCAGGTCTTTTTTTTTTTTTTTTGCTGTACACGGGCCTCTCACCGCTGTGGCCTCTCCCATTGCGGAGCACAGGCTCCGGACGCACAGGCCCAGTGGCCATGACTCACGGGCCCAGCCGCTCCGTGGCATGTGGGATCTTCCCGGACCGGGGCACGAACCCGTGTCCCCTGCGTCGGCAGGCGGACTCTCAACCACTGCGCCACGAGGGAAGCCCCCAGTTCAGGTCTTAATTTTGATTTTAACTATACACAATGCTATTATACATTAATCTGTTCTAAGATAAATTACTTGAGAACAGAGTTTTCTAAATTTACTCTGACTTCTTATCACTGAGTCAATTCACATTTCCTCTCTCTACAGTTCCATGACATATACCAGTTATATTACATTTTACATTACCAATATTATATTACAGTTCCATTACATATATCAAGAATAGCATTTATCACACCATACTATGGCCAGTAATATAGAGAAATATATAACTGTCTCTCCACACCATTCCCCCCATCCCCATATTGGCCATTGCAATATTCATCTCCAGACACTGTAGTCTATGTGAATGGCATCTCCTGCACTTGTGAAAATGTGTAGTCAAATACAAACCATGAGTTCTTAGAGAAGAGGGAGTATTTAACTTTATCGGCCCACTGAGTAAATAACGCTAAATACATGAAATTCACTCAGGAAGGTCTCTATCTACACTCACTCCCTTGGTGATCTCATTCCGACCCATGGTTTTAATTACCATCTATATGCTAACAACTTGCCAATTTACATTTCCAGTCCAGACTTCCCTTTCAAAGTCAAGACAAATATCTGATTGCCTATTTGACATCTCAAAATTCACGTTTGGGGCTTCCCTGGTGGCGCAGTGGTTGAGAGTCCGCCTGCCAATGCAGGGGACACGGGTTCGTGCCCCGGTCCAGGAAGATCCCACATGCCGGGGAACAGCTGGGCCTGTGAGCCATGGTCACTGAGCCTGCGCTCCGGAGCCTGTGCCCCACAACGGGAGAGGCCACAACAGTGAGAGGCCTGCGTAACGCCAAAAAAAAAAAAAATCCACATGTTTAAAATGGGACTCCTGAGTGCCTTAACCAACACCCCTACTCAAAAAACAAAAATAAACAAATGGGACCTAATGAAACTTCAAAGCTTTTGCACAGCAAAGGAAACCATAAACAAGACCAAAAGACAACCCTCAGAATGGGAGAAAATATTTGCAAATGAAGCAAGTGACAAAGGATTAAGCTCCAAAATTTATAAGCAGCTCATGCAGCTCAATAACAAAAAAACAAACAACCCAATCCAAAAATGGGCAGAAGACCTAAACAGACATTTCTCCAAAGAAGATATACAGACTGCCAACAAACACATGAAAGAATGCTCAACATCATTAATCATTAGAGAAATGCAAATCAAAACTACAATGAGATATCATCTCACACCAGTCAGAATGGCCATCATCAAAAAATCTAGAAACAATAAATGCTGGAGAGGGTGTGGAGAAAAGGGAACACTCTTGCACTGCTGGTGGGAATGTGAATTGGTACAGCCACTATGGAGAACAGTATGGAGGTTCCTTAAAAAACTACAAATAGGGCTTCCCTGGTGGTGCAGTGGTTGGGAGTCCACCTGCCGATGCAGGGGACACGGGATCGTGCCCGGGTCCGGGAAGATCCCACATGTCGCAAAGCGGTTGGGCCCGTGAGCCATGGCCGCTGAGCCTGCGCGTCCGGGGCCTGTGCTCTGCAACGGGAGACGCCACAACGGTGAGAGGTCCGCGTACCGCAAAATAAATAAATAAATAAATAAAACTACAAATAGAACTACCATATGACCCAGCAATCCCACTACTGGGCATATACCCTGAGAAAACCATAATTCAAGAAGAGTCATGTACCAAAATGTTCATTGCAGCTCTATTTACAATAGCCAGGTGATGGAAACAACCTAAGTGTCCATCATTGGATGAATGGATGAAGAAGATGTGGCACATATATACAATGGAATATTACTCAGCCATAAAAAGAAACGAAATTGAGCTATTTGTAATGAGGTGGATAGACCTAGTCTGTCATACAGAGTGAAGTAAGTCAGAAAGAGAAATACAAATACCGTATGCTAACACACATATATGGAATTTAAGGGAAAAAATGTCATGAAGAACCTAGCGGTAAGACAGGAATAAAGACACAGACCTACTAGAGAATGGACTTGAGGATATGGGGAGGGGGAAGGGTAAGCTGTGACGGAGTGAGAGAGAGGCATGGACACATACACACTACCAACCGTAAGGTAGATAGCTAGTGGGAAGCAGTCGCATAGCACAGGGAGATCAACTCGGTGCTCTGTGACCGCCTGGAGGGGTGGGATAGGGAGGATGGGACGGAGGGAGACGCAAGAGGGAAGAGATATGGGAACATATGTATATGTATAACTGAT